CCGGAGCAGGAAAATCCACGCGCAGTGCTACTACCACCTGCGCGGGGCCTCTTCTTTGGACGAGTGCGCCGCGCTAGAGGAGGTGGGCGAAAGGGGGCGGCGCGTGGAGTTGCATCTTGATCCAGGGGCGAGCTTCGACGGGGAATCGCCTGCTGACTGCGTCGCCAGCGCCCCCGGGAGATCCGCGCTAAACAGTCGTGCCGCCGCCGAGACCGTGGTCGCCAAGTGCAACGCTGACCTCTTGTCCAACGGGGAAGTGTCGAGGCTTGCCGAGGAGGTCGCAGCCGCCACCCTCGAAGAGCTCACCGCCGCGGTCAAGCTCGAATGTTTCGAGAGGCGTCTGCTGCGCGGAAGCGCCCGGCGAGATCGGGCGGCAGGGCGGTTCAGATCCCAGCGCAGCATGGCGCCGGGGGGGTTCCCGACATGGGTGCCCGATCCTTGGAGGCGTTCGCTGGGGCAGCGAAGCAGGCGTCGCGGTGCCGACTGTCCTCGGAAGCGACGCGTCGCGCAGACTGGGCGCGCGTCGCCGTGAACGTCGAGAGGGCTTTCCTGCAAGGCGCGACTTGCGCCGAGATGCAGGGGCGTGGTGAGGCGCCCCGCGAGGTGAATTTCAACGCTGCCACCTGGCAGCGCAGCTGTCCTCAGGCAGGTGCCTGGCTGCGAGATCTACGGCGAGCTGACCGAGCGCCTGCGCTGCGTCGGGCCGGGTGCGGGCCGCAAGGATGTGCTCCGAACCTTCCCCATGAAGCAAGCTCGCCTGGGCTGCGCGCTCGCCGGAGTGGTGCGCCGAGCCCGCCGGGTGGGGCCCGGGGCTTGAGGTCAAGCGCGAGACGTCGGATGCTTGTGGTGCTGGCGTCTGGGAGCTAGCACGCGCTGTCTAGGCATGTCGACAACCTGACATCGCCGGGCGCGGGGCGCGTCGACGGTTCATCAGCCCCGTCGAGAGCGTCTTCGGCAAGATGAAGGGTGATTGTGACGATGTCGAACGTTGCGGAGTGCGCCAGCTCCGCGCGCCGAGGGTACCGTGGCGCGCGGCCATCGCGAGTGCGTCGACATTCTGATTCCGATGACATGGCGACTTGGTCGAGGCCGAAGCTGACGAGCCGGCCAGAGGTCAGTTTCCAGACTTCTTTGCCCCCCTCCAGGGAGCAGGGGCTTATGCCCTGCAGGAGCCGAGGGGCTCTTTCTCTTCGCCAATTTTGTTTGTTTGTTTGTTTGTTTTTTCTCATCATTTTTTCTCATTTTTTTCTCCTCCCCCCCCTCTTCTTCTTCTTCTTCCTCTTCCCTCCTCTTGACTTCTTTCTTTCTTTCTTTCTTTCTTTCTTTTCTTTTTTCCATTCATTCATTCTTTGTTCTTTCTTTCCTTATATGTATATGTGTTTGTATGTATGTTTGCTTGTATGTATATATATATATATATATATATATATATAAATAGTAGGCTTCCCCTTCGCCGCCCTGGTGAGGCATGCGCTGCGGGATTGGCTGCCAAGAACAAGCTGCTCATCCGACGCGCGATGCGGCGCAATTCTGTTGTTCTGGCCATGAGTGGTGACATTTCCCGCCGTGGAGCGTTCTGGGCGTTTCAGCGTGCACAGCGACGGTCGTTCAAGATGGAAGAGAGGATAGGTTGGGGCATTGTTGGAGCTGTATACATGCGTCTCGGCAATTGCCGCCGCGCCGGCAACCGGGCGTGCCGCTTGTTGGACGCAGTGAGCCGATCGCGCGAGCTGGCGTGCAGGTATTCGTTCAGCTCGGAGCTGCTCGCAACATGCGGCGCAGCCGACGGGCTGCGGGCTCGCCTCCTCGCGCTGAGAGAGATAGTAGACGGCGCCGCCTCTGCTGAGGAAATCGGGATGCTGGGGGAGGGAGGAGGTTGCGCGGTCCTTGCAGATCTCGTCATCCGCGGCATGTCCGTCTTCAGCGCCCTGTTCGTGGACCCTGTGCGACCGTATTCCGAGAACAACGTAGCAGGCCACGTGTGGCGGTTTGATGATCAGCTGCGCGCCAAGCATGTCGAGGACCTACTCTGGGGCGATATTCGGGACACGCGGGCCGCCCCCATGACCAAGGGCAGCGTGGGCCGAGAGCTAATCCTCAGCGTGGTGGGCGGCCAGGTCAGCTATGACCACGACGCGGTCAAGGTCAGCAACGAGAAGAAGAAGGCCGTTCCGAGCTCCCAGCGCGCTTCTCCCAACCGGCAGTGAAGAGGCGACTCGTGTGACTGTGTCGCCAGGTCGACCACCGTAGCTCCGCTCGCCCGTGCGCGGGTTGACCCTTCCAGCAGCCGTGGGGTCGCCAAGTCCTGCTGGCAACCGCGGTCAATATCTGCGCGGACGCTGGGAATTCGCTTGAGTGCTGCTGCAGCTGATTGGTGTCAGCTGCGCAACAGCAGTGTTTTTTTTAGCCGTGCTCCACCAATCGTCTCGCGACGTGGGCGCGGTCAGCAAGGCGCCCATTGCGGGCAGCTTCTCCTAAAAAGCGCCGTCCGTAGAGCATTCTCTGCGTCATATTTGTTTCAGGGAGGGCGCGAGGGATCGGCTTGAGCACAAAACTCGACCAGTGCTTGTCCTGTTCTTTCTCGCCCCATCCTTGCTTGCTTCCGCTGCCGCTACATCCAATGCATGGTTTCGCGCCCGCTCTTAAACGCGCTATTCACTTCATCCGTTCTATATAGACAAACTCACGCTTTCAATTCTTCTGGTATCCATTTCGCTAGCCTTGTCCTCTCCTTTTCCTTCGTTGTGCACCATCATACGCTGAGTGTTCCTCCCTCCTCTTTCCCTTCTCGCCCCTCGCTCCCGTTTCCTCCTTCTCTTCCTCCTTTTCCTCTCCTCTTCCTTATTTTCCTCCTCCTCCTCCGCCTCCTCCTCACCTCCCTCTTCCCTCCTCCTTCGCCCTCCTCCCTCCTCCCTCCTCCCTCTTCCCTCCTCCTTCTTCCCTCCTCCCCCCCTCCCTCCCTCCTCGCCCCCCGCTCCCGTCCCGTCCTCCTCCTTCGCTCCTTCCATCCGCGCGCCCTTCGGGGGCTTCGATTTCTGTTCCCGCGGGACAGGGGTTTCCCGTCTCAAGCCGTCTCTGCGGACGGCCCTTGTCGCGGGTGAGCCCCCCCCATGGAGAAATGGTCAGACAATTCGGGAGGGGACGATCAGACAGCGAAAACCCGCCCCCGGTCCCGGCCTCATTTCCGAGCCTGCGATCCATGGGACAGATCGGGAGGGGCAGGGTGCAGTCAACCTGCATCGTAAAAAGGAACCACTTTCCAAGGCCACCCTTTGCACCATCCTTCTCCTGCCCGTCCCTGGCCGCTTTCGCTGGCCGCGCCCCGCTCGCAAACTATTGGCATCGCCTTCCGCACCTCCTGCGTCTGCACCGCGCGTGCCCGCTGAACGAGTTGACCCGTGTCAGGGACACGTCGCCGCTGGGATGGCGGGCCGTCGTGCTATTCGTTTCGCTCTTGTCCGAGGCCCGGGGTTCGCCGGCCGTGCCTCGCTGGTGGCTCCCCCGCGGCGGCGTTCCGGCGATGCTGCTCTTACTCCCCCAGCATCTCGGGTGTTGCTAGGGGTACCCCTGGCCCACGGTACCCCCAGGATTCTCGGGGTGGTCCAGACGGCCTTCAGGGCACCCCTCACGAGGCTCAGGGGGCCCCAGGGGCTCCAAAATAGTGCGAGAAGCCTGGGGGCACCTTGGGCAAGGGGCACTTCCAGCAACACCCGAACATCTCCCATCGTGGCTGCTTCATGACTCGAGGGGGGGTCTGGGCCTGGTTTGACTCACTGTGGGCCGCGCTGGACGAGTGCGTGCGTCCGTCCTGCGGGTGCAGCGCTCCGTCGTACCGCGGACGGGTGACCGCGGGGTTTGTGATTCGCCGCGGGCCTCGCTGGACGAGTGCGTGCGTCCGTCCTGCAGGGGCAGCGCTCCTGCCATCCTGTGGCCCGCCCCTCTTTCTCCAGGAGGCGTCACCGATTCTGCGCTTCGCCCTCCCGTTCCGGGTCCCTTCCCCGAACGTCCATCGGCAAACATCTCTTTTCCGCTGCGGGAGGCGATGCCTCTGAAAGACGAACGGCCCTCTGGACCAGTTGGTTATTCTGGCGAGACCCCTTTTCATCAGGACTCAACCTTACATCCTTCCAGCTGCGAGAAATGCAGAGAGGTAGGGTCAGAAGGTTCAAGGATGTGTCGAACGATGGTTCGGTGTAAAACAGGTCTGCCCTCCATCCGTGTAAGCGTTGCACAACGTGATTTTCTGGTTATGCAGCTCTAGCAAGCCTTCAGCGAGAGCTCCTTTTTGCAAGGATCCCGTTGCGCAATTGCGGTTGGCGGGTCGTGAGATTTGAAGAGGTCTCAAGCGCGAGCTCAATTCTTTACCAGCCAGTTCGCAGGCAGTTGCCCAGGGGACTCGCCCTGGTCAGGGATGTGCACGAGCATGCAGTGGACACACGAGGAGGGCAGAAGCAGCCCGTGGAAGCAGAAGGAGGGCAGGGGGTCCGAGGCCTTTTGGAGCCTCTTTAGAGGCCTCGGGGATGGGGTCTCCTCCTCCTCCTCCTTCCTCCTCCTTCCTCCTCCTACCTCCTCCTACCTCCTCCTACCTCCTTCTACCTCCTCATCCTCCTCCTACCTCCTCCTCCTACCTCCTCCTACCTCCTCCTCCTCTTCCTCCTCCTCCTCCTCCTCCTCCTCCTCCTCCTCCTCCTCCTCCCCCTCCTCTCGGTCGAAAACGGGGGCGGCGTCAGTTACGCTCCCCCCGTCGGGGCCCTCACGGTCACCTCCCGGGCCGATATTGGGGCGGCGGAGGAGGAGGAGGAGGAGGAGGTCGGAGGAGGAGGAGGAGGTCGGAGGAGGAGGAGGAGGAGGAGGTAGGAGGTAGGAGGAGGAGGAGGGGAGGAAGAGGAAGAGAGGGAGGAGGAGGAGGACGGGAGAGGAGGAAGGAGGAGGAGGAGGAGGAGGAGGACGAGGAGGAGGAGGAGGAGGACGACGATATCTCTGAGCACTCCCCAGACCGCTCGACGCCCCATCAAGGCCGGAGGCCCTGCGGAGGCCCTCCTCCCCCTCCAAAATGCCTCGGATCCCGCCAGGAAGCCTCTCCGCTACTCTTGGCTGCCCGCTTGGCTTCCAGTCGGTCTCCAGACAACAACCTCCTCCCCCTCCTCCTCCTGCTCCTCCTCCTCTTGCTCCTCCTCCTCCTCCTCCTCCTCCTCCTCCTCCTCCTCCCTGCTCCTCCTCCTCCTCTTCTTCCTCCGCCAAAAAATTGGAAAAGAGCGGAGCTCGGGAAGGACGGTGGCCTTGCCGCGCCGCGGCGCTGGACCCTCTTGGGTGCGGCCTCACAGGGGGAATCGCGACCGTCACCGTGTCAAGCGACACAGCGCATCAGGAGATCTCCATTGGTGGGATTATTTTCCAATCGCAGGGAGCATTCCGATTCCTTCGCTCGATTCGACTCGATGTTCATCGATTCCGATTCCGATTACGATTCGATTCGACTTCGGATTTCGATGTAGATTCAGGTTTCTCAGTGGAGGCCTTCTCAGCCTGCCGATATTCGCCGATCCGACCTCTCCCGACTCGGCTGCCGACTCCCGCCGATCCGACTCGTGTCACTCGCCGATCCGACTCGTCGATTCGCTTCTGGGCTGTCCTGCAGGCGGGTGCCCCGGGCGCACCGCCGTCCACAGGCCGCGGCCTCCTGGGCACCAGGCCAGGGTGTAACCGTCCGGCGGCCACGGGCCCTGGGCGTCTCGTGGCGCGGCGCGCGCGCGGCGCGAAAAGCAACGCCGCGGGCGGGTGAAGGACCGCGCGGCCTCCCTCCGCCTCCTCCTCCTCCTCCTCCTCCTCCTCCCCTCTCCTGCTCCTCCTCCTCTTCCTCCTCCTCCTCCTCCTCCATCCTCCTCCTCCTCCTCCTCCTCCTCCTCCTCCTCCTCCTCCTCCTCCTCCTCCTCCTCCTCCCCCTTCTGCCCCTCCTGCAGTCGGGTGCCCCGTGCGAGTGCTTCTGCTCTCCCGTCGCCCCCCAGGCCCAGCCCGAGCGGGGCGGCTTTTCTCCCGCATGCTGCTTCTCCGCGCACAGGATCGGATGAGGTGGCCTTTCATATTGCCTGCCTCTATCGGAACATGTTGTTGTTGCTGCTGCTGAATTCTCATTTCTGAAGAATAATTATTGTTGATCCCCCCCCACCGGGGGTTTACGAAATTTGCTGCATGCAGCTGGTTTCGGCCCCACGGAGGGGCCCATTCCTCGATACATAGCCGCCTCCGGCGCCGGGAGGCGCCGGGAAAATCAGCTACGTGAGCTGATTCTCCCCCCCCCCTCTTTGCTATCCCCCCCTTTCGCCCGACCCGACAGGATCGGATGAGGTGGCCTTTCATATTGCCTGTCTCTATCGGAACATGCTGCTGCTGCTGCTGTTGTTGTTGTTGTTGTTGTTGTTGTTGTTGTTGTTGTTGTGGTTGTTGTTGTTGTTGTTGTTGTTGTTGTTGTTGTTGTTGCTGTTGCTGTTGTTGTTGTTGCTGCTGCTGCTGCTGCTGTTGTTGTTGTTGTTGTTGTTGTGGTTGTTGTTGTTGTTGTTGTTGTTGTTGCTGCTGCTGCTGTTGTTGTTGTTGCTGTTGTTGTTGTTGTTGTTGTTGTTGTTGAACTCTCATTGCTGAAGAATAATTATTGTTGATCCCCCCCCGTCCGGTGCACATTGTTTTTTTCGATTGAAGTGCCCTTCCCGGGGCTCGCACCCTGCTTTTTATCAGGGAAAGTCTTGAGGCTCAAAACTGTGTCGTTGGCCCCCGGTTTACAACAACGGCTCCCGCCTGATATTTCCTTACAATTTATTGAAGAATCGCGCTCTCGCTTGGGACTTCCTTGCAATTTACCACTGGATCACGGCTCCCGCTTGATACTTCCTTACAATTTATTGAAGAATCGCGCTCTCGCTTGGGACTTCCTCGCAACTCTTACCACCGAATCGCGCTCCCGCCGGATACTTCGTCACAATTTATTCAGATGCCGCTCCTCGACACTCAGGAATGGCGCTCCCGCTACATATTGCCTGGCGGTTCAAGCAGAATTTACGCTTCAACGACCCGCCCGCTCGACCCGCCCGTCTGGGCCTGCCCGCCCGACCAGCCCGTTAGGGACTGCAGTCGCCGCTCGCTGCCCTTCGCTGCCTTCGATGCCCCTCGCTGCCCGTACTGGTTCCGCGGTCGCCTTCGCTCGCTGCCCTTCGTGGCCCTGTTGCTGCCCTCAGTGGCACCGTCGCTGCCTTCTGTGGCCCCGCATTATATGCCCTTCGTGGCCCCCGCTCGCAGTCGCCCGTCGTGGCCCCATACGCATGCCCTTCGTAGCCCCGCTGTCGCCCTTCGTGGCCCTCTCGCTGCCCTCCGTTGCTGCCCTCAGTGTCCCCGCTGTCGCCCTTTTGTGGCCCCATAGAAGAAGGCCCTTCGTTTCGTTTTCAAGGGCTTCACCAACCACACCGAGCAGGGAATGAATCTACCCCCCAAAAGGGGGTACGATCGAAGACG